CCAGCCCTATTCTCTACCTTGCTTTAAGTTTCCCTGCCTCCCTCTCGTCCCTTCTTGGCTCTGCCGCCACAACGACGGTGTTTAATCGTTAACCACCTCCAGCGCGGTCCTTTTCTATTTTCTCTCCAGGAAGCGGGAGAGGTTTCTGAAACAAGGTTGAAAAATAACTCGGTTTTCCCCTTTGCCTAAAGGGAAAAGCTCCCACCAGGGATCTGGACTGGGGGGACCTTCCCCACCACCACCCGTGTGCGTGTTGCACGTCTCCCTGCTATAGGTCCATCGTTTTCTATGCGGTGCTTCCCAAATCCCATCCAAACGGTAATCTCCGCTTCCCTGCTCTCCCTCCACCGTCTATTCCCTGCAATATTTGTCAAGGAATTTCAAGTATCAATTATAACCGAAATTTTTGATATCCCCCCCCAGTTTGGAGTGTAGATGATTTGATAGGAATATACACATATATAATACCCGTTCTCCCTCAGATGAATTTTTTGGACCACGTCCCACCCTTAGCTGAACATTCAATATTCCAGCATTATCTCCGCACTTAAACTCGCTTTCTCCATTGCTGTGCCAAGATAAATTTGCATAATATTTGCAGTTGTAATTAGCTGATGAACATCTCTCAGCCTTCCCCTTTGTTTTCCGCGCGTTTGGTTTTCAATTGATGCCACTTTTGATCTTTAATATTACAGTATCCCGATAGAGTATTTTATATCTTATCTGGAGCGCATGGAAGTCGGGCAGAAAGGGTGTGTGTGTGTGTGTGTGTGTGTGTGTGTGTGTGTGTGTGTAAAAAAAAAAGGCAACCAAAAAACAGGGAGAAAGGAGAAGGAGGAAAAAGGCACAGAACGAAGCCGAACTAATCGGAGTTTCCAAAGGTTGCTTCAGATCCCTGGATCCGCAGTTATGGGGCAAACGTGATAAATGTGGGAATTAGAGAGATTTAAAAGGATATAAGGGCTTAATCGGGGGAGGTACCGCCCGCATCTGGGCATCACCCTGGGAGGGCGACGGGGGTTGGGGATACAGGAGGTTGGGGATACAGGGATTTAGGACACGGGGACTGGGGGACACCCCATTGTGTGTGTGTCTGCCCCCGCTCCGGGCTCGGGGACCTCGGGGAGAGGCTCCCTTTGGACTTTTAGGGACTCAAACACATAAATTGGGGTTTATTTGTTTTATATATACAAATATATATAAGCGTGTGTATATATAGGTGTGTGTATATATGTATACATATATATATGCCTAACCTGGGGGGGGCTGTGTGTGCTTTCTCCACCCAGCAATTGCATGGGGTTCAGCCCATACCGGCTGCCCAGTACCCCCCGACCCCCCTCCCGTAGCATCATTCCCCCGCCTCCAGGGTCACCTCCGCTCGCAGAGCCGGGAGTAAAGGATGTTATCACGTCGGGAGGGTTATTAAACCGCTAATGAATGAGTGTCTGTGAGACTCTGGACGGGCTGGAGAGACTGCGGGAGGGGGGCTAAGGGGGGAAGAGGAGGCAGAAAGGCTCGATCTTCATGCCAATCTCTGGAACAAATAGCTAACATTTAACGTTTACACCCTGCTTGGCGACGAACTGGCGCTCCACGGACCCCTGATCCAGGCTAAAATGTCCAGAAAGCCTTTGGAGAGAACAAGTTCCTAGCTATCAGGTTCTTCTGATCTCTCTCCTCCTTTCATAGGGCTTTGGTTTCAGGCTGGACTTGTCCAATGTCTGCTTTACCGCTGCGAGCTCCTAAATGAGTGTCAAGGAGGCGAATATCAAATAGCAGAGAGGTCAAGGCGATTTGGTTAACCGTTGGCTGGGCTGATGGCTTTAAACTTGTGTGGGAGGCTGGGGACGTGGTGGGGGGGAGGGAAGGAAAAGGGGGAAGGAATGGGAGGAAAGGGGAAATAAACCCGGGAGAAAGGAAAACAGGGAAAGGGGGATAGGAAGAGGGTGGAGGTGCGGGATTGATGCTTAGAGAGCCCCAGAAAGGCAGCACCAACGATGAGTGGTTGAGGGTTATGGGAAGCCTTGGTGGAGGGTTTACTGGGGGCACTGGTTAGGCTGGGGGTGTCCTTGTCCATGGGCAATGCATGTATTCTGGTGGCATCTACATTTGGGCTTGATCCTTGGTGTTTTACATGGGATGCTGCACCCTGAATGAGCGTTGGGCTTTGAAGACATGGAGAGGGGGATTCTGTAGCATGCGGATGGTAGGGCAACACTGTGTTTGTGTGTGGGGGACAACCCAAAGGTGGATCTCAAAGCCCCAGACGACGGTGTGTTTGGGCAAAGGGCAGGGGTGGCTGGGGGAGCCAAGAGCATGGGTTGGGATCTGTGGTCCTAGGGGTGATGTAGGGCATGCGTGGGGGTGTGAGGGTGTTTAGGGAGGTGCCATGTGTGTCTGTGCACTGGGAGGAGAGAGGGATGGATGTATGGAAGTGATGGGGAGATGTCAGGATGGGGGCAGGTGAAGAGCCCCTATAGAACACATAAAGCTAGGTGCAAAGCCGCTGCGGCTGTAGCTGAAGCGTGAGGTGTGAGTTGGCTGTGGGTGTAGGATGGGGTTTGTAAGGGGGGGTCGTGTGGGGCTGCAGGACCCTGGGCGTGAGGGGCTGTGATGGGGGAATGTGACTGTTGGGTGATGAGCACAGGGAAAACCTTGGGCTGGGTGATCCTGCATCACTCTCAGGGGGCAAATTCCCTCCCTAAGTGCTATTGCGCTTCCCATGGGGAAGCACAGGGACAGGCTGGGTGGCTCAGCAGGCAGCGAAGAAACCAAAGAGAAATTTTACTTTCCCTACATAATAATCCGCTTCAAATATATATATAAACACACACATATATATATAAATAAATAAGAGAGAATTTCCTGGAGGAGAAAGTTTTCTATTACTGAAGTGGCCAATGAACAGAACAAATACTCGAGGCCCTTTCCAGGCACACTGCTCCGCTACGGGGCCGCGCCAGCCCTCCCTTCCCCGCAGTCTCATTCTGCTCCTGACACTAGCAGAAAGCTCACTCTGGTCCCAGGTAATGTAAAGCTCCTCAGCTGAATCAAGGCAAACAATCGCCATAGGAAATGTGTGCACAGCTACACACGGCTGAGCAGTGCCGGGGCTTGTAACTACTGCAGAGCGTGCAGGAGCTAAAACCAAGGGGAGTTAATCGTGGGTTTAGTTCCCATGCCCTTGACCTACAAGTTGAAGAGCTCAGGAGTGCAGTGCTGATGGAATACATCCAGGTGAAGGCTCCACGGCCCTCAGTCTAAAGCTACAGTCTCCATATTGCCCTGGCTTTTGGATTTTGAGCATGTTATGGGGGACCTGTTTCCTTCCACTCCCCCTTTTGGAGGTGCACAAAGGACTTCATGGGGCTGTCCTGTGGGAACAAGGGATGCCGTAGGAGACATTTTAACAAAGCCTAGTGAGGATGGGAAAGAGGATGAGCGAATTTCAGGATCAAATATGCATTTGGGGTTATTTTTGTTCTGGTAGTTTCATTTGCTTGGCTGCTCAGGGCAGCATGAAGCCTGGAGAGCATGGGGCCGCGCATCATACGGGCATCACCAAGGTGCATCCCTATGGAGAGGTGCCTCCTGCATGTGTTTGGACACGGATGTATTGGGAATGTTTGTGCAAGGGGTGCTTGTGTATCTTGATACGTATATATATATATATTAAAAAATACATGTCTATTCCATAGGAGGCCCAGGGCTATAGGTCCCTCCATGGCTCCCTCGTACATCCACATACATACACCCACTAAGGTTGCGTTTCCGGAGACATTCTCAAATAGAGCAGTGTAATTTCTCCGCTGATTTTGATTGACACGCTGTCCCTGGGATCATGTGTTAATCCCTTCTTCACTCAAGCCTTTTCATAACTCATTTCTCTCTGCTAGATGGAGACTCTGATGGTTACCGAGGCAACGATGATAGCACTAAGCCATTTCCCTCTCTGCACGGAGACCATTATTCCGCATGCATAGGCCATTTGCAACAAAGGTCGCCACAAAGTCATCCACAACACAGCACACGTTTATTAAACTTTTATTCCTTTTTGCCTTCCCTCCCCCTAACACAGAAACTAGCCAACACGTGTGCAATCTCTGCCTTTCTTTTTTGGGGGGGGGAGAAAGATCTTTGTCATATAGGTAATAATAATAACCGTAGCAGACATTATTGTACCCAAACTATATATATCACACAGATCAGGGGCTTAGAGTTCCTGGTCTAGAAAGATCACGCTTAGATGGCGAGGTTTTGAACCAATGATTCCTATTTATCTTTTGTTCTCCTATCAAATAGTAACTTTAATAGCAGTTGGAGGAAAAAACAGCCAACAGCAATGATACGAGGACGGTGTGAGGTGAATATCTGAATGCAAAACCCACATGGAGATGTGCCCTGCAAAACGAAGCACCTCCCAAACCCCGATAACCAAGTAACCAATAACCAAATAACCAATAGCCAAATAACCATCAGCAATGACCACCCCCTCAATGGGGTGATTTTCTTAAGTCCAGTTTCTACTTGGCTCCTTCCCTGGGCTTCCTGGGTCTGGGTATAAGTTACAGAGGGTCCTCCTTGGGTTAGGAGCTGGTTTAAGGGTGTTAAAAGCCAGCTCTGGTCGTAAGAGGACAATGGGTTAATGCACTGCTGAAAGGGCCGCTGCTAACCTGAGGTGCTCCCTCCCCACCAGCAAGGCTTTGCCCATATGGGGCCATGCTACTGGATTTTATTTCAGCCCCATCCTTTGCCTCTGGAGACCGAATATGATGCATGGCTTTGGGCTGGCTTTTAGTGAGCAGCCTTTTCCCATCGGGAACGGCGTGGGTAAAGGCATAAACCCCTGTACTTTGGATCTGTGCATTTAGCACTGAAACCAACCCCAACAAACATCCACATGCAGCGCCTTCCAGCCACCAGCCCCACCACTGCTCCTGGGGTCACAAGTCCTTATCCTGAAGCTATTTATCACCTCTTTCTATCTCTGTTTCAAGGCACATCTCTGGAGGTCTTACATTTCCAACCACATCAGGACAGAGATCCCATCCTGCTGCGATGGGGCTTGTAGCTGACAGCAGCAGGGACGGGCTGGGCGGCTTGGACAGTGCTGCAGCATCAGGTCTGCCACGGATGTGAAAGAGGAGGAGAAGATGGCCCACGGTGATAAGGTCCCAGGCAATTTCTATGGTGCCTCCTACTCTTCTCTGTCCAGACAGCTCCAGCGCTCCTCCGGGATCTTATCTCTCCCTATTGCTGCACCTCTTCGGCCTCCCTCCTACAGTGTCCTGCTCAGCGTGGTGCAAAACACACTCCTAATTGCACTGGCCTGGCCCAAAGCTCTGATCCCATCTGCCCTCTCTGACTCCCATCACTGGCTTCACTGGTTTTATCACCTATTTCACTTACATGTTTGATGCCGCCTCTTCAAAGCCAGGCAGAGGTCAGCCCAGCCCCAGATCCACCACTGTTTTTCCCTTTATTTTCAGTTTGGGAATTAAAAGTAATAGTAATTACCAGCCTTGAAAGGTTTAGCTTCTTCTTTTAGATATGTGGAGCCACTGAAACAATTGGGAAGTCTGTGAGTCCAACCTCTGCAAGTGCATTTAGTCCTGAGCTTGGAGATCCACCGAGAGGAACGCATCTCCCAAGAGCAAAGCATCACTTGGAGACAGCCACAGCGATTTCCAAAACAGCCCATGTGCTTGTTTGCAGAGTTTCTGTTTTGCAAGGTATTCAAATAGTCAGAGACAAACAGGAGTTGGGCTTAATCTGCCCAATCTGCCATTTATCTGAAGAATCACTTTCCCATCACAACGCAACCACCACCATGGAGGGCGAAGCAGTCGGTCCAGCTGACACAGGAGAGGGTGGTTTATGACAGGGTGAAGTGACTCCTCTGCTGAGCACGGATTTAGCAGAGGTGTTTGAGAACAGCAGTGCCCTGGATCCTCAGTGGCTGGTGTTGAAGACCTACCACATCCACCCCTTCGAGCGGATGGGCAGCAAGAGCGAGCCTTGCTCCATTAGAACAGCATCACAAAGGGGGGACCTGAGAGGGACCGACCACGCAGGCAAGGTCTTGCTGTCCAGAGGATGCACTGCCTCACGGCACTTTTCACTCTATTCCCAAACCACATTAAGCCTTTCTGAATAAAAGCCAATTTCCCTTTTCCCCCTTCCCTCGCCACCCAGCATTCTGCCTGCCCTTGCACCACTCTTCCTATGGAAAGTCACCGGCCTGTCTGGCCTGATGGTCTAAAAGAAGGTGGAAAAATGCATTTCTCACAATTTCAGCTCATAAGGAGTGTTCCCAGCTCTCGCAGGGATGCTCCAGGCCAGGAAACACAGAGGGATATTTACTTGTGATGCAGCGCTGGGATGGTGCTGGGATTTTTGAGCCAAGTGTGGCAGGTATTTTCAAGCCCCCTGCACTAATTGATGGGCTCTCTATATATCATGCCAGATAAAGGGCTCTTGTGCAGTAAATGCTGATGTTTAGAACATCCTGATAGTGTTTTGTTAACAAGAAGATAACGGGAGAGCAAGATACGTTTGTTTAGCTGCCTATAGATAAACCCAATAGGGTCTTTGTTAAGTTTTCATGACTGATGGCAGGTACTAAACGCGATAAATAATACCCCAGGTCCTGATTGGAGCTACTGTAGCACGAATTATAACCCACAGCACTGACCTGTGAGGGGTATGGAGGGGTTGAAGGGTACAGGAGGGAAGACCTGGGCTTTTATTCGGGCAGTGACCCCTTGTTTCTGAACAGGTTGGATATAAGGAGGAAATTCTTTCCTGTGAGGGTGCTGAGGCACTGGAATGGGCTGCCCAGGGAGGTTGTGAATGCTCCATCCCTGGCAATGTTCAAGGCCAGGCTGGATGAAGCCTTGGGTGCCATGGTTTAGTGTGAGGCGTCCCTGCCCATGGCAGGGGGGTGGAACTGGATGATCTTTAGGTCCTTTCCAACCCAAACCGTTCTGTGATTCTATGCTGGTGATCTGCTGAGGCTTTTCCAACAGCCCTGCAGAGTGGTACCTGCCAGAAAAGCAAGAGATGGAAAGGATGTTGGCAATAAGATGTCTGAGGCAGTAGAAAAACAGAGGGGCTGTAAAAATTCAGAGGGAGAGGATGGTGGTGGACAGCCCCAGTTTAAAACCAGCCTTCTTCTCCAGGGCTCTTCACCGGCTCATCCAGGATGGGATGGCCAAAGAGCCTTTGGAAACGGAGGGTGAGCAGGGCTGTGTCTCAAAATCACATCCAGCAGATCCCGAGCATCCTTCTCCCCCAACCCAGGAGGACACTGAGTCAAGGCAGCATCTTCCTCCCTCCCAGGTTCACCTCATCAGGGTGCTTATTAGAAGCTGCTAATTGCAAGGTGGGTCGCTGTGAGCCCTCTTACAAAAGACGGGTTTGTCACTGACCGATGTGGTGGCCCTGAGTCATGGGAGGAGATGTGGGGACACCCGGTCTGCCCGCAGTGGTCCCTGGTGATGTCCCAGCAGTGCCCCTGTCAGTGTGTCAGCCTGGAAGGCCGAGGCTCATGTTAAAGCAGTGACAGATTACCAGCAGGGGGGGACATGCTGAGCGTCCAAAGCCTGCAGCTGCAGAAGCTGGCAGGGTTTGGAAGTCAGGCCATGAAGCAGCCCAGCTGTGGAAGGGGTTATAATTACACCGTGGTCAGCACCACCTCCCCTGGGAAGGCACCGATCTGCTCCCGTTGCTTTGTTTTATTCTTCCCATGTTTCTGGGTTGTGCCTTTTAGAAGAGGAGACTGCAGGAGCTGCACCGAGATGATGCTGAAAGCACCATGACCCTTGGGTTGGTGCCCTCCCGGTGCATCCCACCAAGCAGCGGGATGAAGAGGGCTCCGAGCTTGGCTAAAAACCTCTGGGATGCTGGGAGCCTCAGCTCCCTTTCAGCTGGAGGTGAAGCCAGAAAGCAGCTGCGGCATCTCCCAGCTGGGTCTGGTTTTGCACAAGAGTGTGATGCCCGGCACATCGTGTTTCGTGTCCCTAGGAACTGGGAGTGAGGAGCTCAGAGTTCAGGCTTCCACTTGAGAATGAAACGGATCCTTGTGCAGTTTGGGCTTTGGTTTCTCTGTCCCACCTGCTCACACGTGCATTTGTGTGCAGTGTTATAAAGGCTGTTTGTTTGGACGTTTTAATACTATCAGGAGATGCAAAAGGCTGGAGAAGAAAGCTCTGCATTGGTTTTTGCAGTGCTCTGAAGGATTTGTGTTAATACCTGGACCAGCCCTGGGACATACCAAGAGCTCCGGATTTCTGCTCCTGCCTCATGCACATCTCTCCCACCCAGCACCATGCCAAGACCCCAGCAAAGCTTGGAGGGTTTTTGCCTCCTTTGGGTTTTCTGGCCATCAATAGCACCATCCATTCCCATCCTCTGACCAGCTCCATGTCTGCAAGGGCAGCTGCAGGATTTGGCTGTAGATGAACCTCATCCTCCATTTACGCTCTAAGCCCAGATTACTTTCCAGCAATGGCTTCTCACCAAGCAAACACTGAAAGAGGAGGGAGCCTTCGTGTACCCAAGGCTGAACCACACACACTCAAACACTCAGACCTTGAACATTTATGTCTGGAGTAGCTCTGCCCCGTAACTGATTGGGAAGAACCTAAACATCCATTTCACAACCATGTGTGATGCAGGATTCATGTTGTGCGCCGGTGCCAGAGCCGGCCAAGAGCGATGGAGAGATGTAAATGGAAAACTCCATTTAAATGGGTCTTCCTGAGGAAACTTTGAAGAGGCATCCAAGAAATGAATGTGTTTTCTTCTAACGAGGAGCGTTGGTTATATCTCGTGGTGATCTAGAACAAGCCACATGCCAGTTATTGTTGGTACAAGCACAACAACCCTGACTGTGGGAAAAAAAAAGTATTTCCAGGCATGTAGGACACAAAACGTGCTAAAGGCATTTTAATGACACTTTAATTAATCTCCAGGCATAGGTTAAACAGAGAATCTCTGAGAAGGTGTGTATGTGTGTGGGGGGTAATAACGAAAGTTAGGACTCGAATCAAAAGATGCTTCAGTACCTGCAGAAGCTATTAACTATAATTATATTCATTTCAAATATCCCCACGCACAAGAAAGGGTGAACTGGAGCGAAGGTTGGGAGCAAAGAGCAGCAAATCAAGGCTTAAAGAAGTAAGTATCAAAAGAATGTTGTGATTATCATAGGAACAAAAACAAACCCGAATGCATGTGGAGTGAAGGTGAGATGTAGGGAAAGAAATCCAAAGCAGCTAGGTGTGGAGAATTACACTGGAGGCAGCTCAGAGATGTCATAGCCTAAAGAAGGAGCAAGCGTGGCTTTAGAAGTCCATTATCCTGACCCAGGACCACAGACATGGAAATGCCTTTCTCAGATGTCTCTGTTGGCTGATAGAGTTTATCACAGTGAGCAGACTCTCGTTTCCAGACCGTGGTCCTGTTCCCACGTACACCTGCGACCACGCAACCGGGGGCTCTGCACAGATGATGCTTTTGGTTCAAGGAGAAATGAAGCTGGTTTTATCCAAAATCACCTTTTCCTGCCCAGTTCTCACAAGCGCTTTGCTGAGCTCGCCCTGCCTTGTGAATGGGAGCTGTGCCAAGCAGCCTCCGGGGGAGCCCATGTACAGGCATCTCCCCATGCCTTTGGTTTGGAAGGACCTTGCAGAGGGATCCAGACTTCTGCGTGTCTCCTACAGGGAGATCTTGGCAGCTGAGACCCACTTGTGAGATAACGTAAGCTGGCTCATAGAAAGGTGCCTGGAAAAGTACCCGGAGAGGTACCCAAGGATGAAGGAAGCTCAAAGGTGTATTTGCAACAGATGTCACTGGCAAGACAAGGATTAGCTGCTAGAAGGGACCTTTCTTGTATCGCCAGGGGACTCTTCTCCATAGGTACTCACCCTCCTGGCCTCTGATGCTCCAGCACCAGCTTTGTCTGCTTGGCGTCTATGGGAACTGGGAGCTCGGAGGTACCTGTTCCCACCTCAGCTTGGCCCCTGACGTGCTCTGTGACCTGGCACAAATCACTTCACCACCCTGCTTTGGTTTCGCTGCTCGTAACGCCAGCAGAAAACAAACCAGTCCTTGTTCAGAGGAGGTGAGTGATGCCAGCCCGGCCCTTTCGCTTCTCCAAGCACATCTGATGGGAACTACCACAGCTTTGGAGTCCTTAAGCCATTAAACTGATATCCACGCTGAATAGTGACCTGTTTTGATTACCCTTTCCCACTGATGGTTGGGGACACCCATCCACCGTGCCCAAGCACATGCAAGTATAGGAATGGCATGATGGGACAATGTTGCACCCTGATGGATGTGACTAGATGTCTTGGGAGGTCCCCTTACGTCTTAGATTATAAATGATTGATTCTTATATTATAATAAACAGTGATTAATTGTGTTCCCCTTCTGGAGAGCTTGTTGCTAGCAGGAAGATGCATCTCCATAAGATGACAACAGGCACTTGTCCCGCACAGAGGATACGTGCAGGGTCAGACAAGTAAAAGTGAGGGACTCGGTGCAAGCAGCAGGATACTTCTGATGGAGATAAGGATAACTCAAAGCGGAGATAAACAGCTAAATGACCACGTCGCTGCAGAGAACTGGAGTACCTCGGGGGTGGCAATGCCAAGAGCGCACTCAGCTCTGACACGATTTTGCAATGTGTGCATCCAGGGCTGGATTCATAGCAGAGCTCTGAGTCATGCTGTTTGGTGAGCGTTAACTCCATGACCAGGGCTTGCTATCCAGAAACAAGAAGAAAAACAAGGACATGATGCAGCTCCGCAGCTGTTTGAGCACGGCTTTAGTAAACAGAGCTGGTATAACACTCACCGGAGCCTCAGGCATGGGCTAAGGCACCGGTTCCTCCTTCCACCCACTTGCACACTGGTACAAAACTGGGAGTCCTGGCAATTAATCTGATCCCTCTGCATCTCCCCATCACCAAACCAGCCTGCTGGGTGCTGCCTGTAAACACAACCGGACCGTGAGCCGATGAGGATCCAGGCTGCATCCCGATATCCACAGCCGGTTAAAAGCCCAGGGAGCGTTTTCCAGCACAGCTCTGCCAACACGGGCACCAGGGTGTGGGAAGAACGCTGGCAGGACGATGAACTCATTAAGGTGGAGCTCTGTCACCACCTCCCGAAGGAATCTGAGATGAGTCCATCGCGCTGCCGTAGCCCTTGTGCAAGCGGGTGTAGGAAGGATCAGTCACCGGAGCCCCGCGCTCCCCTGCTCTACACACTGAAGTCAACGCCACCAGGAGAAATAGGAGCCCTTTCCATGTAAGTGAACTGATCTGGCTGATATCAAGTGACTCATTAAGGGCTTACAAAACTTAAGTAGCCCATGGCATTGCTCTCTAGTAGTGGGGAC